TCCGATATTTTTAATTATTATTATCCAAATTATACTCATGCCTATATAAATTAATTTGATTGTGGCTATTTCTATGCTTAATTATTTTATTTACTTGCTATAGGTATGCACAGCATTTAATAAATTAATGATAATAATTAATAACACAACATTCTAAGTGCATAAAATATAATAAATTAAAAGTACAATTTTTACAAACCTCATTGGTTATGGTGATGGGGATTCTTTAAAACTGAATGATCATGATCTAACAAGTCATGGATTGATGAATCACTGGAATCACACATTATCTTTAATAAATTTAATAACAACATGTACTACAATTTAAGAATGAGGAATATTTTGTAAAACATTAAATAAAAAAAAATTTAGTTTGAATCACTCATAATTAATAAGTTTTAATTAAATTGCAAGTTAGCTTGGGGAGTTTGAAGCTTGAATTGAACAAATTACAAAATTGTTTATTTTATAAAATTGATTGGTAAGTTGTTTAATATATTTATTTAATTTAGTATATTTTTTATTCCCAGACCTAAGCATTGTAAATAAAAATTTTAAAACCAATCAAGCAATAGAATTTAAGATCTTAGGAACAAGTGCTGTTAGTCGTTAGTGTAGTAGTAGTATATTAGTGTAGTGGTTGGTAGTTTCTAGTAGTCTAATCTGTTAATGTTCGTTAGTGTTATCTGTTATTTATTTCAATTAGTAATTAGAATCAGTAGATATTAGTTTTAGTTTAATTATTAGAGTTTAGTAATTTAATTACTAATTAGTCGTCGTTTAGTGTTGTTGTGTTGTTGGTGGTTCACAAAAAATTTTTTTTATTTAAAATGCAAAAAGATACTTAACTGTCATACAGAAATATCTATCCCAAAACAGCATCTAGTATCACCTTTTAAAACATTTTGAAATTTTAAATAAAAGCAATATTCCGAAATTAGTAAATATACGATCGTAACTTTTGACTTGGGCAATAAAAAATCACCCTCCAATTTTCCTCCGGAAGTAAGCTCCTTGCTCGACCGTCAAAACTGAGCGAAGGCCGTTATATTTATTCTAATTATATGGTACAAAGCATAAAATTCAGGTTATATTTTGATTCAAAATCGTTTAAGGGTAGATTGCATTGTCAAGCGTTTTACATTTTATTTATTTTTTTTAAATTCAATAACATTTTAAAAATAATTACTCAAAAAACAGTTTTCCTTTTTTTAGTATTTCGGCTGTTTACATTATACTGTCGCTAACCAACGAACATGCAGGCTGTATTAGTTGCACCGTGGGTGGAGCTTATGAGTCTCTTTAAACTGTTGACTATAAATAAATATTTCTGGAAAAACCACTTTGCCGTCTCCGAGATTACCCGAATAATAATCATGATAATAATGATGATGAAAATAAAAAGGAAAAACTGATACTCTGGAGATGAAAAACCTGAAGATTCTCCTATTTTCCAGTTGCATGGGTCCAGGTTTCTGGAACAAACATTGCCTATTGAATGAATATCGAATGAAACTTAAATGAATATCGTTTGAGTGAGGATGCCATCCTCATTAAAAATTAAAGGATACTACTGTTACGTTACAGTAACTGTACGTTTCCGGAAATTTCAACTTTTTCAATTCTTTTTTTATTTTACTAATTAAATTTTAATTAATTACTATGTGCAAGTGCTACATACTACTACAATACTATTTCTAATAACCACTGAAAGTTTAATTAATTTAATAATAATTTTTAATTTTTATTACGTTTTTAAACAGCGGATTATAATTTTACTTTGCACTATCACGTTTACTTTCTTCAAATGAATGTGTTTAAAATATGGCTTTCATGCTAATGTTCACCAATAAGAATTCTTCTGTTTATTTAATTTTTTTTTAAATTATCATAATTTTTCTCAAAAGATGAAATTGGATGTAAAAAAGACATAAATGGAGTTGTCGTCATCATTTGGACAGTTAACTTCACCAACTTCCCTATCTTATTTATATCCACATCATATTGATATCAAAATATCACCAGTTGGAATGCCATGTTATCACTTCATTCATTTTATCATAGCCTGCATACAAACTATGATACATCGAAGTGTGAATTATGAAGCACCATAGACTCTGATATATCGAACATTCATTGATGATTTTATGTTTTTTTTCCTCTTCTGATTCCATTGTTAAGATATTTAAATTTGATCATGATGAAATAAATTTTTGGCACTGAAACTGAAGCTGTTGTGATTTATATAAAAATGGGAAAAATACATAAATATTCATATATATATAAATATATATATTGCTATTGCTATTGATATATATATATATATATATATATATATATATATATACTTGCAATTATTTATTTATAAAGATCACTTCCTTTTCTGAATTATTCAACTTGTATTATTCTACTACAAGTTGAATAATGCCGAAAACAGGAGTGATCTTTATAAATATTTGTATTTATGATAGTCTAAACCCAATATATAAATATATATAAATATATATATAACTATATATATATTTATATATATATATATACTATTATATTCGCATGCGCACTATGTTACATATTCGTTTTATGAGAAAATATATAAAAAAAGGAGAGAAAGGGAAAAGTGAGAGCGAGAGAGAATAAGAATTATTATTCATTTGTTAAACCGGAACAATAAATAGAGAAAGCCTGCAATTAAATATTACGTTAATACATATTAATTTGGTACATTTATACATCTTAAGTATCTATGTACTCTATGCGTTAGATAATATGTCAAACTAATGTTATTACACTGTATTTATTTATTAATTTTAATAAATATAAATAATAACTTTAACTACCATTGTCGTCTGCGTTTGTTTTAAAGTTTTTAACATTTTCATTTTTACTATTGAATTATTTTTGGTCGGTTTCTTGTTGTACCACTATCCGGATAATTTCTAATTAAATTTGGAAATTGGTTTAATAATATAAATGCATATTTATCTATTTATTAACTAATTAATAAAAAAAATTTGTTTTTAAATCTGAATAAACCGTGTTTATACATATGTATATAAGTTTGATGTTTGGTTTTGGATTCATTCTTGTTAAACATCCGCCTACAAATACGTTCAACAACATTCGTGCAATCAATATTTGTCAGGAATTGAACTAACACTCGACTTCATAAAGGATGAACAGTTCCTATAAAGCTTTCCTATTAACTGACAACAACAATGGAACATCAATAACACATTAATAAAACAACAAACAACAATACTTACCGACGTTTCTAAATTTAATCGAATATAGATATCTATCTCTATGTGGATGAATAGATAGATAGATAGATAGCTACGTAGATAGGTGAATGATAAAACTTACAATAAAATTTTTAACAAATATACCAGATTGCTTATAAATCTATTACAAACATATAAAATAAAACAATCAGATAGCGACTATAGGTAAGTTTGTAAAGTACCTTAACCACATATTTTTATATTTACAAACACACTTACATAACACAGGCAGACAAACAAACGAACAAACACACATAAATTAACACACAGACATACACACGCACACACATAAAAATGAGCAGCCAAGCGTACAATGGTAGAAAAAAATCTACCTCCACGATAACCAATCCTAGTACATCGAGGAAAAAACTTGTAGTAGTTGGTGATGGAATGTGCGGGAAGACATGTCTGCTCATCGCCTTCGTTCAAAATGAATTCAATGAAAAATACGTACCTACCATATTTGAGAGTTACGTTTCAGATATTGTCGTAAGTTTATTTAATTTTTTCAGTTGTTTTGAAAGTTTTCTTCTCAGTTTCCATTTGTTGTGAATTTGTCTTCGTTTTTTGATTTTATTCCTACTTTTTCTCCCACTTTTATCTATTAGCTAATTGTTTAAGTTAGTGTATTGTTTGTTCCTTCAAAAGTTGGACAATTTTAAAATTTTTAATTGATCTATTTTAGATTTGATTGACAAGTTTGTAACACGAATTTTTGACATGAAGTATTTTAGTTTTCTCTGTTTACGTGGTATTTGAAAGTTGATGTTTGTAAAATCTTATGAAAACAACAACACCAAGCTAAATCCAAAGCCATTTAAACCGATCAATTTGATAACATAATTTAAATGATGATGACCATTGAATGAACAAACGAATGGACGAATGAATGAATGAATGAGTAACTGAATGAGTAAATGAATGAATAAACGAGTTAATCATCAAACAACCACGACCAACTGACCACAAACAGATAGACGAGGAGAGGACAGTCCAAACAGCTTTGTGGGACACAGCAGGGCAGGAAGATTACGAATCCCTCAGACCCCTCTCCTACCCCAACACTGACGTCATCCTCATCTGCTTCGCCATCAACAACAGAGACAGCTTCGAGAACGTCGAACTAAAATGGCTACCAGAAATACGTCATCACTGCCCAAACACTCCATTCGTATTGGTCGGGACGAAGTTGGATTTGAGACCGAATCACGGCCAATCTGCGTCGTCATCTTCATCAAACACATCCTCTGCGGACAATCCATCAACATCGCCAGCTGCTAACAAACAGGGCAACATGAAAACAAGAGGAATGATTGAAAAAAGTGAGGGGGTAAGACTGGCGAAGTGTCTCGAGGCATACCAATATGCTGAATGTTCGGCCAAAACGAGAGAAGGACTCAATGAGGTTTTCCGAATTGCCGCTCTGGCAGCCCTAGGGCAGAGGCCAAGGAAAAAATATAATTGCTGTTTGTTGTGATGTTGCATTTTGTGATGATGATGCTGCTGCAGCTGATGATGATAATGAAAATGATGACGATAATGATGATGGTAATGATGATGATGGTCAGGATGATGATGATGATTGATTGTATCATAATGTGGTGCTGACGCTGCTGATGATGAAGAAGATGGTGATGATAGTGATGATGTTGGTTTCATTGATGATTATGATGATAACAAATTTGCGATGTAGGTAATGTAATCACGTGACAACTGTTATTCAACACGATTTCATGATGATGATAAGGATGATTATTAAGATAATGAATGGTGATGACGACGACGACGACGATGATGATGGCGTAGTTTATAATTATGTGTGATCTAAAAAATTATTATTTACGAAATTATCTCTACAGAATTATTATCTGCCATATGACTTAGGTTTTTGTTCTCAAATAGAAATGTTAGAAATGTTTGATAATTGCATTGTTCAGTATATGTACACACTTACACATACATACTGTGTGTGTATGCGTGCATGTGTGTGCGTGCGAGTGTATGTATGTGTATTTGTGTGTGTGTATAATAATGATGATATTGAGACATATATGTCTCTATACTTCCTAATATACGCTTATAATGATGAAGATGATGATAAGGGAAACGATAATGATAATGACAACTACGATGTCCATTGTAACGGCTACAGTAAAGTTAATGATAACGATTGAAATGATAACAATGATAACGATTTGTACATAACGCTGAAGATTATGACGATGATGATAACGATAATGATGGCTCTTTTCTGTCTTATGTATCTATTGAACGTTAATCTGTCTAAATTAAACTAATTATGAACGACTGAATTATTAATCTTATTATTATTGTTATTATTGTTCACAGATAAATTTGAAATGATCTATAAATAATTATAAATTTGCAGAATGTACGAACGATAATTTTAATTGTGTGGTTCCCAAACGATAAGGGTGCTGCCGTATTTATAAATATAAATGAAATGAATAAAGATTTTTTCACTTAAATTTATTTTTAAATCATTTTTACGTTTATCATTAAAATTTGTTTATTAACTCATCAGATGATTGACTTTTTTAAAAAGAAATATTCTTTAGAAATCATAATTTTTATATTTTTTTTCCTAGCATTTAACTCATGATCAAAGAGTTTAATTTATAATATCCTAAGCAAGAGAAACATAAGGACACACATACACGCACACACACACACGCACACACATACACGCACGCAAAGAGCAAAAACGCTACGTACTCGCTGCGACGCATAAGAAAGCAGCGTCCAACGCATCCATCTAAGCTACAACATTCGCTTTAAAAGCATCTACTTATGTCACTTGCTGCTTGGAATCTATTTTATTTGAGTATATTTTAATAAAAAAAATGAATGATTTAGAATGAGAATAATTCAGCAGCAGTATTAAAATAAATATGTTGAAGCAATTAAGGACAATTATAATAATATGTCTGCTGACGTTTGTAGCTGTCGAATCATTCAGGACCTATCGTGATCATCTTATTTATTCAGCAGATCACGATGGCTTCAAACTGCCAACCGCTAAAGTACATTTAAAATTTTCTACTTTTTTGAACATTTTTAAATACAAAATTTTGAACTATGATGAAATTTTTGTAGGAAATTATAGCAGAGAAACACAGCGGAAGACCTGATGATGATAGTGGCAAATTACCGAACTACGACTTAAAACTGCAGCAGAGAATACTCAACCGGCACAAGCGAGTCAAGAAGAACGCGATCGATCATCACCCTGATATCAACAAACTGATAGCTAAGAAAAATTCGAAGAAACATGATGACGTTGACGACAAACAGGGCAGAAATAAAGTCAAAACTACGAAATATTCTCCTCATCATCGCACTGCCTATGGCCATTCGCTGGGCGCATTAAACACTAACTTAAAGATAAGTTCTTTCAAGAGAAGCAAAAATTTGAAAAAAGAAAGTTTGAAGAAAGATACGAGTGAAATTTCTAAGAAATCTAAAAAAACAAAATCGTCTAATTTAAATAAAGTACCAATTCATTTGAAGATGAAAGCGAAAGAAGAGAACAAAAAATTACTTAAAAAAGTGAAAGAATCTAAACAGAAACGTTCTCTAACTTATGAGGAAATCATCAAAGATGATAAAGGAAAAAAATTTCCAGAAACTCAGAAGCATTCAAACCACAAAAAAGATTTTTCAAGAAGGCATAAGAAGTTGGGAAGGAATTTCATCAGTTTAGCGGATGCAAAAAGAGAACTTGACAAGCGAAGGCATTTAGCTAACGTCATTCACAACAAAATGAAAAAGTACAAGTCAATGAAGAAACCAACAAAAATTCGACATTATGCGGATAGTTACTATAACTTCAACCACAAATCTTCTCATAAGAATCTTAAAGATAATCCTTACAGAATCAACATTGGATCAAAAACTGACTCAGATAAACTTGCTCTCAAACCAACAACATTAAAATCAACCACCCACACTTTCACCCGTCCATTTAAACTGAAGAACCAACCGCGAAATGACGAATTAATACCCCACAAAGCAAAATTAACTGCAAATAATAAAATCGGCAAGGTTGCCAAAGACAACAAAACTAAACTTGTCGCTAAAAGAAGATCATATATAATGAATTAAATAAGTGGTTATCTAATTAAAAGTCGAATTCAATTGAATAGTTAAATGACAATTAATTAAGAATTTTACAGAAAGAAACAACTTTTTTTTATTTGTGATTGGTCCATAACAACAATGTGCTAGCGAAGAAATGCCAGACGCCAAATTTTTTGTAATTTTATTGAAATAGACCTGTATTTATCAAATTTTCTCTTTATAAAACTGCTGAAACATTGAATAAACTCTTCAAAATAAGAGAATAAAACTTGTAGCCCATATATATTGCTTCTAACAATGATTATTTTTCTATATGATAATATTTAATTGATTAATACTGATTAATAAATTAATTCTGAATAATATTTTAAAATTTTGTAATTAAGATAACTAATTCAACAATTTGTTATTATTAATCAATAATGTCGAATGGATTTTATACTGAAAATTAACTAATTTAGACCATATTTCAGAAGAAAATATCTAAAAAAATTGCATAGATACTTAATTTTGGATTTCAAAAATTATCGTTTTATGTTTTTTAAAGTATGATGTTACCATAGCGACAAAATCTAACATGTGTATGTGTTGTATTGTATGTAGTGTTTATTGTTAAGTATGCATACAAAAAACATACACGGTGATGGTATTGTATCAATTTTACATTTTGATTTAAATTAAAATTAAACAGATTAGATTATATTATATATGAATTCACTTTAATTAATTATTTATTTTATTATTTTTTAATTTATTAATAATTATTAATAATTGGACAAAATTGACAAATTAAAATCATTATCAAAAAATAAAATGAGTGCATTGAAAGTTGTTTGCGTTGATGCTACTATAACTACCACCGCTACTACTACTATTACTTCTGCTGCTGCTGCTACTACTACTACTACTACTACTACTACTACTACTACTACTACTACTACTACTACTACTACTACTACTACTACTAATAATAATAATAATAATAATAATAATAACAATAATATTATTATTGATAACACTGATGACACTGACAATAATGTCAACAATAATAACAATAACAAAGATAATAACATAGATAGCAATGTTTCTGGATCAGGTGTTAGCGACGAAGCTGACGTAAGTCCTACATTAATTTACTATAATAATAATAATAATAATAATAATAATAATAATAATAATAATAATAATAATAATAATAATAATGGGAACATCTTTTATTTTTCACCATAAAAAACATACAATGATAAATATATATATATATATATATAAGTCAATGTTAATTAAATAATGCGCAATGATAAAATTTTTAAAAATTGTATAAAATAATATAAAAGGTTAAGACCATTTTGCTCATTGTGAAGTTAAGTGCAGAACGGTGAAATATATTTAATTAGCATCATAGCTTGTTCCTGTCAGTAAATGTCATACGATAATCTTATAACAGTGTTTATCAATTTATCATTAAATGATAGATAATAATAATAATAATAATAAAATAATAATAATTATTATTTAGGCGGGTGTATTAACCCCAGAAATGATTAAATGTGGTCTGTGGAACTTAAGAAAAGATGCGCTAGGGACAAGTTATGCTTATAGATACTTAAGTTTATCGGTATTTATGATAAATATAATTATAATTATTATATTATAATTATTAAAATTATTATTTTTATTATCGTCGTCTTCATCACCGTCATCCCACCAGCGCATGATCGGTAAGTTAGCTCAGTCGGTAGAAGAGCCCTGCTTGCTCACGAATGAATGCGATATACGTGCCTGTGTACTTCAGCATGTGGTGTGTGTATGTGGTGTGTATGTATTTAGGTCGTGTCGTGTGGATGTCTGGTGTCTGGTGTGTATGTGCGAAAGTTCAACTTTTATAAGTATAGAATGACGTGTTGAGAGTTGCAAAATTGAGAACCAGCCAAATGAACGCGTCTCCACCAATAAATGATAGAATAGGAACCTCACCGATGTGACAATCCTCTCCAAGTACAAGAACATTCTGATGTTGGACCTCTCCTTTAACTGTATCAGAGGTTGGAAATTAATTATTAATAAAACGAAGTAACATGTTATATATATTTAGGTGTAATAATTATTTCTATATGCTGTATAATACCAAGATATATCACAATTTAATTGAAATTTTTAGTATATTGACGTAAATCACACAATCCAACTAGGAATTTTACACATCAAATAACTATTAAATTAACATATACAAATATTTCTTTTCAATCATAATTTTATCTTTTAGGCTTTAATTTAAAAATCGATAACTTCATTTAAAACCACCATCGAAAAGAAATATCTGGCTTGGAATGCATGCAGTATTTGTTGAATCTTAACGTCTCCCACAACCAACTCGACTGCATTCTGAAGTACTGTAGCCCTAAGAAAGATTTGGTCGTGGCCAACTTTTCATTCAACAGAATCGAAGAGATGGATGACTTGTCCCAGTACAGATCTCTCGAATCTCTAGATTTGGAAAGTATTTTGATTTCATTTTAAAAATTAACAATATATTTTCAATTTTTTTTAGTTTACTGTATTCATTTTTGTTTTTTTATTACGCAAGTCTGATGAATGCAAAGCTGTTTTAAATTGCTCTTCACACAAGCTGGATGGTTTTCTTTTCTTTTGCCACAGACTGAGTTTGAACCGGGCCTCTGCGCCATACCAGCGTCGCAATGTAAACCACACTTACCAACTAATTAATAACACGTACCGTTATTTCCCTTTAAATTGTAATTGCGCTAATGATAATGATAATAAAACGTCTTGTTAAAAAAAATTTATCTATCAATTTTTCTACTAAAAACTAACATATCAAATGTACCAGAACGATCAAAGTAGATTAATAAAACTTTTCAAACCGCATAAAACTCAGAAATATTCATTTAAATCCATGAAATATTTACAAAATTAAATAATTTTTCATGAAAAACTTTGGTTAAAAGGTAATAGGATAAAAGAAATTAAAGGTTTACATGGCCTGAAGTACCTCTGCAGGCTTAATTTGAAATCCAACTGCATCAGTTACGTTGAAAATCTTAACTACCTACCATTAACTGACCTTAATCTTGTGAGACATTTTGTCATTGCGCTAACTATTGTGTGAGGGTGTTTATGTGTGTGTGCGTGCGTGCGTGCGTGTGTGTGTGTGTGTGTGTGTGCCAGTGTCATCGCCATTCATTTTCATTATTAGTTAGTTTCATAGTTTTTATTTGATTTATCAGTCCAGTAACTGCCTAACGTCCGTTGATAACTTGGAGACTCTCTGCTTTCTGCAGGTTTGTTGTGAGGAGGATGATGATGAAGAAGAAAATGAATGATGATGTAGATGGTTCCAATTATTATGACGTCATATTTTGTTGATGACCACAAAAAAAAATCACGTGACACGTGTTTACAGAATTTAGATTTATCCTGCAACAAGTTACGCACACTAGACGGCTTGCAGGAGTTGCACTGCCTTCAATCGCTCAACCTGGAATTCAATCAAGTAGGTTTTCTCTCTCTCGCTCTCTATTTTTCTCTTTCTTTCTTTCTCTTTTCCTCTCTTTTGATTATCAATATTATAATTATATACTTGATTAATATCAAAATCCTACAATTATTTCTAATTATTTTTAGTTTAATTTGTTGAAAATGATAAATTTTTTCCAATTGCAAGTTTCAGTTTTTAATTTTTTCAAGAATATCATTGGCGATTTCATCATTGAAGCCAAAATTTTTACGATATTATCATGACGTCATTTATCTTATAACCAAAGATAGTGGATATATTGGAGTTGAAAAAACTTCAACACCTTCCGCATCTCTTCCATCTGAATTTCCTTTCAAATCCCATCAATGAGTTACCACAATGTAGACTCTATGCCATTCATCTTCTTCCTAATTTGGTCACTCTTAATAGGGATGACGTCACTTATCTAGAGATGGTTGGCCGGTTGGATTGTTGATTGGATGATTTGTGAGATGATGATTAGTTGGATGATGGTTGGCTGGCAGGTTGCTTGGGTAGATTTTTGATTCGTTGGGTATTTTTCAATACGTTAATTAATTAATCAACGCACGTAGTCATCCTCCGTTATCACCTACTGCCCCCCAATGGAGTACCGGGCGGCACGTGACCACATGACCAACATGGTCTACGCGTTCATGCAACCAATCAACCTGCTCGATTCGTTAGATGATGATGACGACGACGATGATGAAGACTTTGATGATGAAGACGACAATGACCATGGTGATGGTGATAGTGACGATGATGATAATGATGATGATGATAATGATGAAGACGATGGTGTTGATGATGATTATACTCACTGTAATCAACATTATTAGTAAATAGTAAAAAAATCTTAATGATTAATAATAATTGTCACGGATAATTAGAATAAATTATGATAATGTATGACAATGGTTATAACAATTATTTTTAGGAATAATTAGAATAAATTATGATTATTTGGGTCAATGGTTATAACAATAATCACGAATAATTAGAATAAATTATGATAATGTAGGACGATGGCGACACGCGGATGCAGCTATCCCGTAATTATAATGACAGGTCCGGATGGAATGGGACAGCAGGCTCTCTGTATTAAACTGGCTCACGATCTAAAACATTTGCTTGCTTTCGCGTTCGTTCCGTGAATGAATGAATGAATAGATGGATGGATGAGTGAGTGAATGAATGAGTGGATGGATGAATGGATGGATAAATAAATTAATGAATAAACGACTGATTGATTGATTGATTGATTGGTTGATTGATTGATTGATTGATTGGTTGATTGATTGATTGATTGGTTGATTGATTGATTGATTGATTGATTGATTGATTGATTGATTGATTGATTGATTGATTGATTGATTGATTGATTGATTGATTGATTGATTGATTGATTGATTGATTGATTGATTGATTGATTGATTGATTGATTGATTGATTGATTGATTGATTGATTGATTGATTGATTGATTGATTGATTGATTGATTGATTGATTGATTGATTGATTGATTGATTGATTGATTGATTGATTGATTGATTGATTGATTGATTGATTGATTGATTGATTGATTGATTGATTGAACTCCTTCAGACCTCTACATACAACAAGAGAGCCATTTGAATATGAGCTGGAAGGTAGGGAGTTCTACTTTGTAACAGTGGAACATTTCGAAGATTCCATGAAAGAGGTTGGCCTGTCTACCTATTAAATTATTAAATTAAATTAACTTTCCTTCGTTTAATTTTTTTATTAATTATTTATTAATTTTGCTTGTTTATTTCTTTTTTAATAAATTATTTAATAAATAATATTCTCCATTTGTTCGATTCTGTATCTCTTTATAAATTTTCCGTCATCATTATAAGATTTTTTTTTCATTATTCAACTACATATTCTCTCACTTATTTGTTTTGTCTGCTATACACACATATTAGCACGTACAAAAATAACTCACGCGCACGCACACACACACACACACGCACACACACACACACACGAACAAAACTAGGGCGTCTTCATGCTAACGTATAGTTATCAGAACAACTTGTACGGACTGAGTAGGCAGGCCTTTGAAAATGTCGCAAGTCAGAAAGTTGTTTGCCTCTGCCAGATGGAGTGGGAGGTTGCTCGATTGTGATTGGCTTATTGGCGTGACTGGATGATTGCGATTGGTTGGTCGATTGGTTGTGATTTTTTGGTTGTGATTGGATAGTTGTGAAAGATTGGTTGTGATTATTTGCTTGGTTGCGAATGGTTGATCTTGATTGGCTGCCACATCTTTTCCATCGCCACCCCACAATTAGGGTATCCTTACACTGAAGAACACCCTCTTTAAAGCACCCCACCTCATACTCACCCTGCCCTCAAGCGACCTAACATACGAATCAAGGTTACTCAAGAAGGGATGCTACGATGAATGCCAGATAGCTGGAAACATGGAGAGGTTGAAGTTATACGAGGAGAAGTCGAAAGTCAGCAATGATTGGTTTGATGTTGTCGTTAGGCAAGGTCTGCGCTAGTTCTTTTAACGTTGTTGTTGATGTTGTTGTTGCTACGTTTGAGTGTTGTTTTTGTTTCTTGTTGTGTTGTATGGTGTTTTTGATCTGCTTGGTATGTTTCTTAGTTGCTGGTTTCATTATTTTTAGATGCATTCTCTAGATTGATAAATGTTTATAAAATTTTTTCCAGTTTTAAATTTGTATCATTTATGCTTTTTTCTCCATCGAAAGACGATATTGTAGACGCATACAAAGAAATAAAAAAACAACTACTCGATAATTTCAAAACAATGATGACGTCAACAAAATCGACCACAATCGATTCAAATAATAAAAGAACCGTAACGAATATTCTACCGGTTCGAAACGATACCGAACCGATTATTATCACGAACATTCAAGCTGTCACCAATCTCGATACCGCCGCCGCTGCTGCTGCTGATGATGATAGGGTAGGTGATGATAATGATTACAAAAGAAATGTTGATGACGTCATAAGTCTAAAAGAGGAAATTATCGTGGAGAAAAATTTCTGCAGGGTGAGAAAGAGACAGAAGAAGAAAAAATCCGAGGGCGGTGTTAGTGCAAGCAGTGATGATGGTGATGAAGACGATGATGATGATGAAGACGGTAATGATGATGATGATGATGATCGGGGCGATAAATCAGAAGTTAAAAAAGCAGAAACTAAAAGCAGAAAGCCGAAAGAAGTTAAGAATGTTCCTCATTTAACAGTGAACACTGATGATGATGCTGCTGATGATGATGATTGCAGAGGTGGTGGTGGTGGTGGCGATGATAACGATACTGCTTGCGCTGGTGCTGGTAATGATCCGGATTACGACGGTGACGTCACAGGAGGCCATGATGATGATTGCGGTAGGAGGGGACTGATGGTAAGGCTTCAGCTGTCGTCATTTCATTACAATTTAGAAACAAACACATTTGATTTCTTCTTAACCACCATCATTATAATTTTCATTATTCATATTTTTACATAATTTAATTAAATAATATTAATAACAATACTAATAAATATGCAAATTAGGAGCAGCTATCGTTACAGAGGCGGTACTTTGGGGCTTACATGTCAGTGAACAACTGCAAGCCACCGCTCTATAACAGGATAGTTCAAAGGTCAAGATGATGGTGGTGCTGCTGCTGCTGCTGTAGTTGATGGTGATGATGATAGTAGTGGTGATGGTGATGAAGATGACGATGATAAATTTGATGAAAATAGTGCAAGAACGCAAATTTTTATCATCATCGTTGTCGTTATCGTCGTCATCATCACAACCACCACCACCATCATCATCATCATCAGATACAAAATGAGGCCAGTGAGTCAAGACAAATTACTACTCGAACAACAACAACAACAAAAAAATGTTTCAAAACTCTTCAACAAATTGACAACAACAACAGCAACATTCAGTACAACATTCACATCCTCCTCCCAGCAACAACCCAACACTGCAACCATTCTCACGCTACCACAAACGACAGAAACAACAGAAGAGGAAGCAGTGGCGACATCTACCACAATTACGACTACCACAACCACAGACATTACCATAACTCCTTTTTCTTTCCCCGATAACAACCAATCACCAACGTTTCAAAGAGGTCTCAACTCCGCCAGGAATTTTGACATGACGATCGGGATCGTCAAAAACTGGAACTCCAGTGCCTCCAACAAAATTATGGATAATAATAATTATTATACTAATATTTATAATTATTACAGTAATAAAAATAACATTAATAATAGTAATAATAATTGCAATAATAATAATAATAATAATAATAATATGGATAACAAAGATTCTCGTCTGAACAGAACTTTCTTCAAACAGGATGGCAAAAATCTAAACAAACTCCAGAGAATAAATATAAATAGTAATAATAACAACAATAAAAATAATAATGATAATAAAAATAATAATGATAATAAAAATAATAGGAATAATAAAAATAAAAATGATAAAATGAACGGTGGAGCGTTCGACAAAAGCCTGCCGAATATCTTTCCTCCTCTGCCTAACTTGAAAATATAAAATTGTTTTTTATAAATTTTTTAAAAAATGGTTAAACGTCATATTACTATTATTATTACTATACTATCACCACTACTACTACTTCTGCTGCTACTACTACTACTACTACTGCTGCTGCCGCCGCTGCAACAACTACAAAAGATGAAATTATTCACTCATCTTTCTAAAGTAATATAATTTAAAAGTTGAACCCACTAAACACAGGCAAAATATCATATTTATTACTGTATTTGGATTGAAATAGGATCGATCAATGTACAATAATTTATGGTCATATGTGTTTGTGTATATGTGTTTGCGTGTGTATGTGAGTATATATATATATATATATATATATATATATATATATATATATATATATATATATGTAAGTATATGTATATATATATAGTTACGGTTTACATTAATTTATCTATACTATCTAGATATAAATAGAATATTACACGTGCAACACTGTCACGTACAAAAATATAGCCAGGGCGAATTTAAATCTTTTGTAGTTTGTTAAATCTCACGCACACATCCACACGCACACACACATCCACACGCACGCACATCCACATACACACACATTCACACGCACACACATACATAATCTTATACATACGTACACTATACTTACAATGCAAATGCGAATATAATATAGTAAAATATAGATATATACATTTAAAATACGTACATATGTTGGTCACATACATATATATTTGATGTTTTTAATGAAATATAATATATGTGAATAAATGTGTGTTGTGTGTGTGTGTGTTGTATGTGTGTTGTGTGTATGTGTGAGAATATTTTAACTATAAACAGATAAACATTGATTACAAAATCTTATATATATATAATTAAAGAAACAAAATACTGCCACTGTTACTAATACTACTGCTGCTACTGCTGCCACTACTACTGCTACTATTACTACTGCTACTATTACTACTGCTAGTACTACTACTACTACAACAAAATGATAATAATAACAACCTTTTCAAGAAATTCAATAAAATTTAGAAAAGTAGTTTACCACTTGATAAATGTTCTTATTTGCTTTAACCACACACACACACACACACACACACACACACACACACACACACACACACATCTACACAAAACTTACACAACTTAAATTAACCACACACATATCCACACAAACTTGCACACATACATAAACACACGTACGCTTTATACGCAAACTCACAACCAAACGGGACCAAATACACATACACACGTACGTACACAAATATAAGAAAAACACACGTACGGGATGTGAGGTTTGCCTGCTTGTGCGTAGCACATATGAATTCGCAGAAGAAATCTCCCGCCATTATTTACCCATCTATACTCGTTTGCCATTGATTTTCAACTACTTTTATATGTGTATATGAATGTATGTGTGTGCGTGTATGTGTGTGCGTGTATGTGTGTATATATATATATGTGTGTATGTGTGTGCGTGTATGTATGCGTATACTTACATGTATATGTTTTATTTCTTCTGTTTTATTAGCGCAAAATCGGATAACGCTTGCGAAGTTGCTCACGCACGTGCCACATGTTGCTAGGATGGATCCTCCTTGTACGTAATTGCTAATAAAAATCCATGTATGCATTCATGCTTGAAACACACCTGGATAACGTATATCCACATATCAATATAAACGCTTACACACATATACGCACTCACACACACACACACATCTAGATATTAGATGCATATACATGTGTGAATATAATTTTTTTCGTTATACTTAAAAATAAATGTATGTATGTGTTTGTGTGTATAGTACAGTGAGTGTCGTTAGTGTGTTGATTCCAATTTTTTTTTTTCTATAAGTCTTTATTATTGCAGCTCTGACATACTCAGAACCACTTACAATGTTACAGATATATTATGTTATCTATATATCTTTTATTATGTTCTCCTTTTCTTCATCTATTGATTTGAAGCAGCCATCTATTGCCACAAAGGCTGTTTATCCTTTTCACACGACGTACACGTGTATTTATGTGCACGCGCAAGCACCGCATCATATACGCTGAGTATATGATAGCCATTGAGATGTTTGACTCAGCGAGCATTTGAACCACCGAGCCATCTCGCCAGCCAGCATGCGACAACTTACGTCGTCTACCCATTAACCAACCTCGAAAGGATGGACGGCTGGGTTGACCGGGATTTTTACGTTTTTCTAATGTTTTTGAATGTTTAATGCGCCATTCCACAAAAAATTAATGCAATCCGTGGTAAAACATTTGGGTTATTACGTTCATGGTATTATCATAAAATAGTGGCTCTTTTTATCAGAAAAATTGTCACACAAACGCATACACTCACCCACACACACACACACACACACACACACACACACACACACACACACACACACACACACACACACACGCACGTACACATAAACAGATACATGCACATACACATCGTAACATCTTTTTTTTTATATTTATAACAGTACTTCCGTTCACTTTTAGTTTATTAAGTCTTGCCTCGTAAACCAGCACAAAAAAGTATCGAATAAATAAATAGTCAATAAACAAAATGGCCAAAAATGATAAAGAAAAGGCATGTAGAGTGAGATAGGGAAAGAAAGAGAGAAATAAAGAGAGAGAGAGAAAGAGAGAGAAAAACTAATAAGAACAAAACCATTTATTGTAATACGAAGCAGTAGAAAAAACAAACAACGAAAAAAAGTTGTACACTGAAAAAAAGAAAAACCAGAGGATCAGGAAAATGAATGGATGCACAAACAAAAAACCCAAAAAGAAAAAGGTGATGGTGATTGTGATGGGGATTGGAGCCTAAAATGCAGGGTCAGACGGAGGCCATCCCCATATATAATTGGCAAAGAAATGTAAACAATGATCACATGACTGGGTTAGTGAATGAGTGAGTGAATAAAAAAAATATTTGAAAAAAATGAACAAACGAATGGATAAAGTAAATTATAATTTAATGAAAAAACCAAGGAATGAATAAGAGATTGAAAGAATGAAAGATTATTCAGATGAATAATTGAGTGAATAAACAAACAAATTAACATAAAGGTAGGAATGAATTCAAGAATGAATGAGAAACAAAATGAATGTTTGGATGAATTAAGCTATTAGCGACGGAGCAGAAACTGAACGCTTGTATGGATGGATGGATGGATGAAAAAAAGAATAGATGAATAAATAATGAACGACTGAAGGAAATGTAATGAGTGAATAACGAATGATCGAGTGTTTGAGCAATAGAAAACGAATAAACGAATGAATGATTGAGCGAATGAGCGCGCGCAAGGGATGAATGATGGTTGGCTGGTTTCAAAATTTATTTTCTGCACGGTAGCCTTTATTGCTTTGCCATAATGGCGCATTTAATATCGCGAATGCGTGCATCAGTTTTTGCGCTGTGTGTTTGTATGTGTGTTTGTATGTGTGTGTGTGAGTGTGTATGTATATATGTGTGTGTGTGAGTGTGTATGTATGTGTGCGTGTGCGTGCGTGTTAATTATTGATTTGCCCATGGTTATGTTTGTTTTTTCTGTGTCAATTAAACTGTCATTGTATGTTGTATAAATTTGGTTGTTTGTTGTTTGACGTTTACTCTCTCTCTCTCTCTTTATCAGATGGGGGATGAACCTATGGTGTCATTAGATAGTAACAAAATAGCTACCACATTACATTACATTACATGACGTAATAATAATAATAATAATAAAAATAATAATAATAATAATTTAAGAACTTTCTAGAAGCCAATAATAGTGAAGCACGCACAATACACACACACGCACACGTTTATAAATATATGTAAAGAGAGAGAGAGAGAGAGAGAGAGAGAAAAAAGAGAGAGAGAGAGATAATTATTCTTCCTTCACTTCACGCCAGTTGAGATTTCATTTCCACTTCCTAAACGTCGTCACTCCCTTAATTGCAAGCAATCACGAAAGTTTGAAGAAAAGGGAGAGAGAGAGAGAGTGAAAAAGAGAGAGAAGAGAAAGAGAGAGAGAGAGAAAGAGAGTGAGAGAGATGGATAAAGAATAGAGTGAGAGAAAAAAAAATATATAGAAAAAAGTAGAGTAAAGGAGAGAGAGGGAGAAGAGGAAGAAATTGTTTAAAATGAATAAAATTGATGAAAAAACAGGGGAAATATGAGGAAACAAAAAGGTATTCATCTCGAAAATCGATTCTATGCTTTTTTATGCACGCCGAATTTACAAACACACACATACGAACATACACACAAGATACAAAAAATACCAACAAACACATGCAAACATACAAATATACAGACACATACAAACATACAGACACATAGAAACGTACAGACATATGCAAACACACAAGCATACACACACATGCACACACGCACGCATATCTTTTAACATTGGTTAATAATTCAAGGAAGGATGCAGTAGGCAAAAACATGACGTCATCCGAAGCCAATCATGCTAATAACAGTGCACATCGTCACGCAGAACATCAACACGCACTTGTAAACACGAAAAACATAGAATAATA